AAAAAATAAAGAAATTACATACGGGGGCCGCCCCTTAGCTCAGTTCTGTAAGTGGCTGCTTCAACAAAGCAGTCAGGCTCAGGTTGCTGTGGTTCAATCCCCACAACTCAAGCCAGCCAAACCTGCCCTGAAGGCATTCGGAGCAAAAAAAAAGAAAAAAAAAAAAAAGAAAGAAAGAAAGAAATTACATACAGACATAACCTCAGCTTTTGAAAACACATGGGGAATTCAAAAACCAAAAATCTCGATGTTAGTATGTTTTTTATTTGTCATATGGCAAAGATTCTGATCTTCGCCAAAATTTGAGAAAAGATTATTAAAGAAATGGCGAGCCCTGAGAAAGAAAGTTAGTTCCCCGTAGAGCATTAGCATTTACTAAAACACTATGAAAAGAAATAATAAATGGCTTTTCTTTTCTGGATGGAGTTTCAGTTTGTAGTGTCAACAAACACGGCAGATATTTTGGAGCTTGAGTCCACAACAGTATTTGTTGTCCAAAGTGCCTGTTCTAGGGCCGGGGAGATAGATCGGTAGAATAAGCGCTTTCCTGGTAAGTGCAAGGGCCTGAGTTCAACCCCAGCTCCACCAAAAGAGAAAAAAGAAAAAGAAATAAAGTGCCTGTTCTAGCCTCCTGGGTGAGACATGGCCATGTGGGCTGGATGAGACTAGCCAGCTACCTCTACAATCAGCTTCACCCAAAGGCCGAGAGAGTCTCTACTGATGGAGGCAAGGCCTCTGCTCTTGGCTTAGGCCCCTCTCACATTGTGTTTCTCAGTGCCATACAAAGGTCCAGGACATAAATCCCAGTTTAGAGAAATGTGTTGGTTACATAAAATATTCAATTTGCTGATAATGGGACAAAATAAGATGTTACTTAACAAGATGCCTAGTAAGTCTTAAATTCGGTGAAGAGAAGGATCAGTTGAACAAATAAAACGTGAACTGCCACGTCACCCGCACTATTGTAGAAAGACCAGAGTTCATTTGTAGGTAATAGGAGCCTCGGAATGAGGTCTGCTAAACAGACTTCTGCAACCCTGGGTCATGGGATGATGGGAGGGGAGCACCTTTCTACTTAAGAACCTTTTATTTGATTCTGGACTTCTTTTTAAGATATATCAGAGGAAATCAAAGGAAAGGGGACGTACTGGCCAGATAGTTCAGCAGATTAAAGTGCCTGCTTAGGCAGAGGCAGGGACCAGGGGTTCAACCCCCAGCCTGCCAAGCCAGCCCTGCCTGCAGGGCACTCTGAGACATCAATTGAGATTGGGTGTGGTGGCGCATGCCTGTAATCCCAGTGCTTAGGAGGCTGAAAAAAGGAGGATCACTGCAGGTCTGATCTGTGTGGTGAGACCCTATAGACCCTATACTAAATACATCCAACAAAATGATAAATAACCCAGAGGGGTTAACTATGAAAAAAACTACTTTAGTGAATTTTAAGACGTCTTCGAGCGTGTGATATGTTCTCTGTTCTCCTCAGAGGGAAAACTGGCTTCAGAGTCTAGCTGCCAACCCACTGAGAGTATAAAGCAATTCTCGGTCCTTCATTACAAAGCCAGGAGGAGGGCTCCCTAGACAGCAGCGAGCTCCTTCGCTATGTGGAGAATCATGGTGGACATACAGTTGTACCTGTCAGGAAAGACATGGAAGGAATTCCTGCACCAACCCCTGAGCGTCCTTCCATCACATACACTTTCTGACTGAATTTAACAACCTTATACTATGCCAAGGCTGAGCTAAGCTGAGGGTTTTGGGTGTATAAGCCCATTTCAGTTTTACTACAGATGAGAAAACTAAGGCTCAGGAGGCCATATTTAATTATCCAAGTCCACATAGTAGTAGGTGGAAGTCTTGATTCTGAGTCTGAGTTTGAAGTATATGCTCTTAACTTCTACGCTATATCTGATCTCTGGTTATACACTTTCAACCACTGCCCTTGAACATCTTGTACTTTATGTCCTTTCGTCCCTGATAGACTCTGAGCCATCCTTTTAGGCTGAGCCTGCACCCTGTCTCCTCACTTCTTACACGCAAGCCTCATTCCCTTCCTCCTGTGCCCCCACAGCAAGGGCAGGTTGAGTTCTGCGGACCTACCTAGGACTGGTTTTCCCAGTGGACTGTTAGGCTCTAGTTTGAGCAGAAGACACTGTTCATTGATTTGTGTCTCCCAGCACCAAAAACAATGCTTAGAAGACACCGGCACCCAATGTGTTTATAAGTTAGCTCATTCATTCATGAAGCCTAAGAAAGAATAACATATTTTCCTCCCTTCTCTTGCCCCTTTAATCCTTCCCATGTGAAATTCCACAGTCTCCATACACCACCTCCTTCAGTGTTCCTTTGTTTTCTTTTTTTTTAATTAATTAATTTATTTATTTAGAGTGTGTGTGTGTGTGTGTGTGTGTGTGTGTGTGTGTGGTCGTGTGTGGCCAGCTCAGCCCACCAGGGGGCGGGGCTGGCTGGCATGTGGTGCTGGGGATTGAACCGCAGTCGCTGTGCTTTTGCTTAGCTTAACTTGTTCTAAGTAGGTGCTTTAGACCACTAAGCCATCTCACCAACCCCTGTTCCTTTGTTTTCTACATGAAGTACAAATGCCTTAGCCTGGCTTCTAGGGCCTTTGCGCTAAGGTAATCTAACTTCTCAGCCTTGCTGGTTCTCCCCATGCCTTCTTACCCTCCCGATTCACATATCCACCATCTTCTTGCTGTTCTTGTCTTCTCTCATATTTTTCCCTCTGCTTGAAAATTCATTATTCTATCTTCATTATTTTCTCCCAAAAGTTATCTATTCTTTAACACCAGCTCCTCTGTATTTCCAGGGAGATTTCTGGTGCTTTCTTGTGACTCTTTTCTAATATTCTATCTTATCCTAGCACTTGCAGTCCATTCAGCCCAAAAGATCGTCTCGCAGTATTTTTGTAGGTTCTCTGCCTGATATCTCAACGTCTTGGGATACATAATATCACACTGTATCCCAAGCCCCTACAGCAGAATCCAGCACATAGAGGATAGTTAATAAGTACATCTTACTGGATAAATGTGTGAGCGAATGAATGAAGGAACAGACCGGATGCTAAGATCTACATTGTAGCACCAGTTTGTCCATAAAATATATCATTTTGGGCACAGGGTATAACTGGGCCCCAGTTTCCTTTTCAGTAAAATGCAGTCAAAGAGACAGGCACAGACGTGATTGTTATTGGTTATTTGCTACAGGCAAGACAATGGCCTAGAGGCTTTATGTACTTTGTGTGACTACTGAGAGAGAGGGAGACAAGGACACTAGGAGGGAAGACTATGGCCTAGGATAAGATGTAGTTGAGCTCAAGCCCTAGCTCTGCTGCCTAACTGTGACCTGGGGCAAGTCTCACGCATCTGTTAAAGCTCCATTCTTGCAGTTATCCTAGGGGTGACGAATCGATTGGTGAGCTTATCATGAGAGGTCAGTGAAATGCTACCCATAAGGCATGTGCGGCCAGTCAACTGGCTTAAAATTGCTTCCTAGTAAATAGCGTATCATTATGGTGATATTATACATGTGTCTTGTTGCTCTAGTGTAGCCCATGAAGAGGCAGAAGCAGAGGCTCTGAGACATTAAACAGCTTGCCCAAAGTCACCTAAATCTGCCTTGGCCCCTCTGCCTGCAGGACTCTCCAGTGTAAATCCTTAGAATGGCCAAGAGCATTGCCCTGAAGCATGCGTTCTCATCGTAGGCTATGACATTAGAAAGCCACCACTGTATTATGACTTCTTGGATAAACCCAGATCTTAATGTTGTAATATCTAACCACTTCATGTCTAACATTGAGTATCTACGAAGTAGTCTCTCCTTATTAGGATAAAGACCTATAGCATTTTTTTTTCATCATTTGGCTTTTATTCAAGAGGAAAAAAATCAAACTGTCAGTCACCAGTCCCATAATCGAATGTGATGGTGTGAGCTTCCCTGTCCCATGAAGAAGCATTTGCCTCAGGAGAAAAAAGAGAAGGAGATGGTAACCATCAGGTAGGACTTCTCAGGGCAAGAAGTGACCAGTACACACACACGAGTTTCACAGAAGACAAAGGCAAGCAGGAGAAGGTTCTTTGTGATAGGATGTCATTGAGGACATATGACCTCACACTGAAGTAGTCATGGCCGAAATGTCCAGGAGGACTGCCGCCCCAATCCAGAGCACACACAGGGGGTTTATTTGTCATGCTTATGACCTTGAGATGTCAACAGGGGACCAGAGAGCGGCTTCCTGCCGAGCCTTTCTCGCCACAAACATGGCTGGCTAAAGTGGCTCCAAACAGTTTGATTGCGAGGAGAGAAACGCCAATCTAACCCATTTGTCATTGATTTCTTAAGCAGATTCAGGGACACAGGATGAAGCACAGCTTTTGCAGGAATGGTTTAAGCTGGTCCTGGAGAAGAATAAATTAATGCGATATGAGTCGGAGCTGCTGATCATGTAAGTAAAGCAGCGCAGATAACAGTGAGTCCTAAAGCGGAGGGCTGAGGGGAGGAGGGGTCGTCCTCCTGGTTTGAAGTCCCAGGATTTTTTCTTTTTTGTGCATACAGAATAGTGATTGAAGCAAATTGATATTTTATGTCTTGCATATCATGCTGGCATTAGTGTGAAGAATCTTCCGTTGTCTGTTCTCTCTGTGGAGACCTGGGGCTGAAATAGATTTAAGGTAGTGGGTCAGCAGCTGGGGGGCATTCAGACCAAGCTCATCTCCCAGGCCTGTGGAGAAGGCAGCCGTGCACCTGCAGTGGGGAAGTTTGTGTCTGGACTCACAGTGGATCATGGGGTCTGCCGGGCCACTCCTTGTAGTTTTACCAGATGGAAGGACAGAGGATCACTACGAAGTCCGATCTATGCAGTGAGACCCTGTCCACCCTGTCCTAAATACAAAAAAGAAAAAAGAAATAATCCCAAGGCTTCTCTCTTCAGATTGTTTCTTTCTCTACAGTCTGTCTTTTAGCGCCTTCATATGACATAAGCTGTCACCTCTTCGCACTGCCACGTCTGTGCGGGGCCTCATTTCTGCCGAGAGCTGGGGAGCAGCCTTTGGGAGCCCCAGAAGCACAACCTGGGCCAGCGCAGGGGAGCCGACTGCACTCTGAGATAGAAGCATACAGTCTCAGCCACTAAAAAGTTAGCTTCCTGCTAGCCTTCGCCAAGGACAAACTCCCCTTCATGACTCTGCTGTTCCTTGCAGTGAAAACAGAGGTCCCAGGACTCTAGCGTGGCTCCTCCAAAGCCTCATAGAGTTTCCTACAGCAAGTTGGACCAATGCCTAAGTTTTATTGCCTGTATTTGGAGAAAATGTCTCACTTCGTTTCCTCTTTTTGGCCTTCTTGTTGACCACAATTAAGGATCTGGGAGTTGTCAGAAGTGATTCTTGAAGCTGTATTGTATCTAAAAGAGAAAAAGAGCTTCAGATGGTTGTATTTTCCTCCGTGGACTCTTCCAGTCTCTTCTTCCTCTGGCAGCCCTCCCTGTGGAGGATCAGTGACCCTCCCTGAGCCTGCTGCCATTGTATCCTGGCTTTCTGCTGCTCTCCACTGGGCCCCAACCCTTCCTATCTCAGCATCTCTCTTGGCCTCTCCCATGACCCCTGTGGCAGCAGGACTTTCCACTTAGAGGTATTCTAGGGTCCTTATTTTAATAGTGAAACATTGCTATAGATACTATTAATGGGCATCTTTTTCAATGTTTCCACACCAATTCTCCTATTTACTGTTGGGACATTTTCTCATACACAGGGCTCAAGAACTAGAATTAGAAGATCATCAAAGTAGACTGGAACAGAAATTCAGAGAGAAAATGCTTAAAGAGGGTGAGTGTCAGGGGCCGGGGAGATGGCTCAGTGGAATACGCGCTTCCCTGGCAAGCGCAAGGGCCTGAGTTCAATCCCTGGTTCTGCCAAAAAAAAAAAAAAAAAAAAAGGTGAGTATGGTAATATTTTGGGGACCCTCATTTATGTCACGCGCTGCCCCAGGACATTCAGCAAAGCATGCTGCTGTCCCAGAAGGGACCCCTCCTCTTGCTTTGCCTGGCCCACCAGGCCGAGAGTCAGAGGACGGACATAGCCAGCCAGCTTTTGGTTCACCTCCACAGACACAAAAGTCCCCAGGGAACTTCACTCTTTGGACAGTGACAGCAGTGTCTTGCTCCATCCCCTGCGCCAATAGGAACAAAGCCACTCATTTTCTTATTCACTTATGCATCCGTTCACTTAGCCAACACTTACTGAGAACCCAGCATGAGCCTGCACATGGACAAGAGCAGCCCCTGGCCCCCGGGAGTCTGTGACCTCACAGGGGACACCAACACCCAGACCAGTCACTGTAGCAGGTGCTTTGGGAACTCAGGAGGGCAGGCCTGGTTCTGCCAGGCATCAGAGATGGGCTGGGACAGGGCATCGCCTGTGAGAAAAACAGTCTACATTGAAGGAAGAAATTGATGGCAATGAACTCTGTCGCCCTGATATATTGAATTATCCATCCACTGGCTCCAGAGAGACATAGTCACTATTTCGTGCCTATGTGTTTGTGGGCCAGATCTGTGGGTGACTTCCCTACATTCAGACCTAATTCTAAAAGAACAAGTTAAAGAATTCCTTTAAAGCTCATAAAACTAACATTGCCTCTCCCTTCATAGGTTGCCGGACAGGAAAAGCAAATAGTCGGCATCATGACTGGGCTTTACTTTATCTCACTCATCAGATTAGAAAATAGTCTGAGAGAATCTAAATAATATGTTCAAGGTAAACTATAGGGCTCAGGTGTAGGATGAGACGACACCTTAGCGTTGCCTGGGTTTGCCCCCATTTGATCTGCAGGCCGCTGCTTTATAGCAGCAGTATTCTGTTTCCCAACAGTCCTTTGCAGAACTGCACTGTGTAAGAAAGGCAAATGTGATATAGAGGGCTGAGGTATAGCTTAGTGCCACAGTGCCAGGCCCCTGGGTTCACTTGGTAGCATCGGGGAAAAAAAAGTGCTGCACATTTTTTTATTTGTCGGAAGGAACTCAGGTGTCTCCATCTGTGAGAAGCCTAAACTGGAAGAGGAATTAAAAAAAAAAAATTATGGTGCCTGTTAAATCGAAAATATCAATACTGAGGGCCGGCCAGATAGTGCAGCAGACTAAAGCACCCGCGTAGGCAGAGCGCAGTGGCTGGGGTTCAATCCCCAGCGTGCCGTGCGGGCCCCGCCCCCGGGGCACACTGAGACTGGGCATGGTGGTGCAGGCCTGTAATCCCAGTGCTTGGGAGGCTGAAAACAGGAGGATCACTGCAAGTCTGATCTCTGTAGTGAGACCCTGTAGACTCTGTACTAAATAAATTTAAAAAAAAAAAAAAGAATACCAATACTGTAATGTACTTAAATTTAAACAAATCATTTTATATAATCTGATACCAAACTTTAAGTTTTGGTTCAGAATAGTCTAATAAATACCCCCTACCCAAAGACTCTCTTAGGCACCCTTGATTGCCTGTCTTTTTGCAGATTCTGTGAAGTGGAGGTCTGGTTGCCTCACTCCTCTCCTATGTCCATGTAACGTTCTCTCCAAAAAAAGAGCTTCTTCGTTTTTGTCTCCAGCTGAGCTTACCTTCTACACAAGCTTTCTCCCACTAGTTAGCAAGGAAAAAAAAAAAAAAGAACTCTTCATCCCTCTGAGGTAAACTTGTTCTGATGCAATGATTTAAACGGTCCTCGTGGGGAGCACTCGGTCCCTCTGGGGTGACAGCAGGCAGTCTGGAGGAGGGGCACTGCTTCCTTTGTGTTTCTCCCCTAGGATGACTTCCTGGAAAGCAGAGCAGCATGTTGTGTCCTGGTGGCTGAGGTGCTGTCTGGGGTGCCGACTCATGGCGTCCCCATGTAGTCAGGTCCCATGTAGCTGGTGTTGCCACAGCTTGCCTCTTCTCTTGGTGCCATTCCCTGGCCTGCTCTGCCTCGCCTCAGCATGACCTGCACTCAGTCAGGCCACACCATCTGTTGTCCCTTCTCTGCGTGGAGTGTGCAGGGGAGCTCCCTGCAGGCCCACCAGGCAGCCACCTCTGGCAACATTAGGCCAAGTAAGCTCTTCCCGGGTCCCTCCCATGCCACACACAGCAGATGGAGACCGGAGAGATGCCCTCAGACCCTGCTCTGCCTGACAACCAACTACTGCCTATGCTCACCCACAGGGTACCCTTCTAGCTAGCCTCTTCCCAGCATGCAGCAAGGGGCAGGACAAGAATCTGTGTGGCCTCAGTGTCCCATCCAATGACGCAAGACAACTGCCTGCCTCATTTGGATGCTCAGGGTCCAGCATGGAGAAACCAAAGCACAGAGCTCTTTGCCTCTCTCTTCCTCCCTCCCATGAAGTGGGAGATGCTAAGAGACAGGCACACACCATTTGGCTTCACTGCATCTACCCTCTTCCTGATGCAGGCTTCGCAACCATGCCCCGTGAGAGGCAGTGGGACCCTCTAATTTGGCCAGGGCTCCTGCCGATCCTCAGTGTGCACACGGAGAGGCCCAAGGGAAGGGATGGAGAATACCCTCTCAGCACAGTCACCTGGTTGGCAAGACCTAGAGCTGGCTTTGCAATCCTGTGGCATGTCAGAGAGTCATTGCCGCCTGTTTTGCACGCTTTCCCTTCCTTCTATGAGTCCTGTGCCTCTGCAGAGTCAGATAGCGTGGGCCAAGTAGGAAGAAGCCTGGCCTCTCGGAAAGGCTAATGAGAAGCAGAGTCCACCCAGAAACTGCCTTGCTAGCACAGTAGGGACACTTGTGGCCTCACTTGGCTCCCTTGTGGTCTCTGCCTGAAAGGCAACAATTTGTCATTCAGTACAAATGACAAAAGGAATGTTGTCATTGCAATAGCAGCCTCTTATGTTGATACTTGGCTAGGAAATTTTTCTCAATATTTTTATGGAAAACAGCCTTTCTGTTGTTTTGCTAGTGTCTTTCTGGGGCAGGAGGGAAAGTTGGGAGACTTGATCGGGAGTGACTATATTAATTTCCTTTGCACACAAAGGGGTTTTTCCAGTTCCTGTGTACAGATTCTGGAGGTGAAATGCTAGCCGACTGCTGCACAGAGCACCCGCCTTTCTCATCTGTGCCTTGAAGAGCAGGTCTTTTGGCGTTCCATTCATTTCCTTGTTTTCTCCATTGAAATTAAAGGGCAAGACAAGTCCCTAACAGTGGAGAATGCTCATGCCCAGAACCCTCTGGGGCCCAATCTCCCCGGAGGCCTCATGTTTTTCTGTTTTCTTCAGAGAGTCAGAAAGACGAGAATGATCGTAATGAGGAGCAAGAAATACTCATCGAGATGATGCAAGTGGTTATGCAAAGGGACAGGCTCGTGGATTCCTTAGAGGAGCAGCGCATCAAGGAAAAGGCCGAGGACCAGCGCTTTGAAAGCTTTGTCTTCTCCAGGGGCTGTCAGCTGAGCAGGACGTGAGGTGGCCCCGTCCCTCCGTGAGGTGGCCCTGTCCCTCCCCAAGGCCGCGCCTGCATGCCGCACTGCCTCATTCCGGAATGGAAGTTATACCCTTCGGCGTGGTGGAGAGTTTTATTTTTAATTAAAATTCTCATATGTACTACAGCTTCCCAAGATTTTTCCAGAGACTATAATGAAAAAAACCACAAAGACTGTTAGGAAATTGGCAGCGGACGTCAGCCAGGCGCTGGGATCGGAGGTGCTCCTGGCCAACGACCAGCATTGTTTTCCCTAAAAAGTGACACAGAGACTTGACTTTTCCACTGCTTTCATCATTTTCTTCCCTGATTCATTGAGTTATGTGTTTTAAGACTTTCAGGAACCTGCCTTTCCATTAATATACCCATATTTGCTTTTTTTTTTTTTTTTCCCCTTTTTCTTGCACGGATGACCAGTTTCCAAATGTCAGAAAGCAGCAGCAGCAGTTTAAAGATTAGGTTAATATTTAAATGGTGTTTCCAGAGAAAGAGGAGAAACCTCAAGATTACTGATTACATAAAGCAAATAACTCATATAGCAGGTGTTAATTCAATCCAGGGTGAATTTAATTTACCAGGTGTATTTATAAGCCTTAATATAATATACATAAGCAATGAGAGTTTATAGAACATTTGAGCCTTAATTTTATTTAAAAAAAAAAAAAAAGAAAGAATGAATGAAAGAAAAAGGAAATAAAGCTTTAACTTCATGCCAGCAGGATTGCTAGGGCTCACCAAATCCTGTTGGCCTAAGGAGAGTTTTTTGTTCCCAGTGTACTCTGTTCCTGGCCCCTGGAGCATAAGATAAGCACTTTTAAAAAAGAATGATTTTGGAGGGTTTTTAAAAATAAGTGTTGGTGATGGCAAAAAGAAAAACTCTTTCACTTGGTGAGAAAACATTGCTGAGGCCGGTGCTGTGGTCGGAAAATGAACACACTGGTGGGCCTGGGAGAGGGAAGCCTCTTGGTGCTCCTGGGCTTTGGCTCAAGCAGAGCAGGGCTTTCACCCCTTGCCAGGACAGCCCAGGTGCCCGTGAGACAAGGACAAAGCCATGTGTGGCTTCCAGGCAGAGCTGAGCAGAGCTTCTCCGCTCATGCAATCCCGACTTGGGCCATAGATTTGTTTTTCTGACATTTTCAATATGTACAGACAGCTGGTGGGTGGGGCTTGTGCGCTGACACACTGGGCTTCCCGGGGTGTTTTGACAGTGCAGATGGGGACCAAAGAGAGAAGATTTCAAGTGGTGATGTGTTGTCATAAAATATTTGATTGTTCTCCCCCGGAGGCATCCTTTGAAGGTTTAGTCTGTTATGGACAAGAGAGAGACCAAAGAACTCTGTGTTGCACATTTGGCCACTGATTTCTGCAAGCATTTAAATGTGTCATTCAACAATAGGTGCTTGGCAGTGGTTGGCTCTGACTGGAGACCAAGTTTCTCTCAAGATAAGTTGACCCAGGAAGCACTTATGCGCTGCTGGCTGCCCACGACATCTGGCTGGCTGACAAGCCAGAAAGACATATTCAGACTTCCCCCGAGTCGCCCAGCTTTTGGGGTGGCATGTAATCCCAGCCTTTCTATGGATACTAAGCTCCAGAGGCAATAATTTTTTCTCTCTATTATCTTTCTTTCTTTTCTGAGAATCTGATCTTCTAGTGCCATGAAATCTATTCTGTTGTTGGGAAATTTGTAATCACCCTTCTGTCTACCTACTTAGAAAAGTTATACCACTTCTGTTTATCTATTTTTATTTATATGCATGTTTAGTGGTAATTGATAATGATTTCCTGATAATTCTGGCTTCCCTGTAGTATAATTTGGAAAAGACCTACTGGTACGAAAATATTGGACTATAAGCTACTCGATACAGATGTTTGCAGCAGTTGTATAGTATTAAAGATGTGTAGAGTGGGGCCGGGGAGATAGCTCAGTAGAATAAG